TTTTTGTATTAGACCCGTCGTCCATTTATTTGTAAGTCAATGATAATCTGTGTTGAGCTGTCAAACATTGATTTGTGTAAATTAACTTTGATAGTTTCTATATTGAGCCTCAAAATTAAGACAAACCTGCATTAAAAACCTGAAACCATAATCGGAAACGCTAGCAAATTCGTTTCTGGCACTCGCCGACCGCTGCCGCAGTACGCTCTATTTTTCATATACTAACCTAACCTACTGAATGGGGGGGTGTAACTAAAATTTGACCTATATGAAAAAAGAGTATCAAATGTTAAGTAGCAGTAGAACCTTTCCTATTTCTGCCGCAGTAGTGTCAGCTGCTCATTGCTGTGTTCCGGTTTTGAAGTGTAAGGTTACCGGTGAAATTACAGGCACATGGAACTTGGCAACCTTATCCCTCCCTCCCGTTTACTGCTCCGAAGCACTCGTGCTGGCCTTCGCAGTCACCGTTTTACAACTAGCCGTTTGGTGGCACCTTCCTCTGTCAGACAGTTGAGAAATAGAACTCCCTTCCAGGGCACGTATTTCCACCGTCTTACGACATGTGGTCTTTCAAACGAGGCATGAAGAGGCATCTTGTAGTCATTGCCATTGCAAACACTGTACTAGCTTCCTTCATGCTTGGATTCCATTTTACATCAGGTGGAATAGAGTCATCTGCCTGTCATGTATAAAAAAATGAAGCTTCATTCGCGTCATGCGTTTTTTACTTTGATCGCGTATAAATTTTTTGACAGTAATTGATTCGGACATGGTACGTAGACCCCCTGATCGCAAACTAAAAGTACTATAAGTACCAGAGCCAATTCCCCAAACCAGAACCAATTTAGAAAAACTCACTTCCCAAATTGACCCTACCGGGAATCGAACCCGAAACTTTCCACACCCAACGACCAACATACAAATACTATATGCACATATAGAAGTACAATACCCAGATAAATCATGGTCGAGTCGTTACGTGACAGCCTTTATAAAGTAACTTGAAAGATATCACATAAGGAAATTCATGTTAGCATCAATTGGTGATGGAAATTCCCCCGCCGCCGATCAGTACACACGATAACCTGTCGTATTTGTTATTTATTATTATATATGCGTGATATTGATAATATTATGTGTCTAATTAGATATGACTTCGGTATAACACAAATTGGAAACTATTTTTTCGGGTCTATTCATAAGCACATTTAAAATAGAAAAGTACTAAAATAACCACCTTCAAAAGTCATTCATGCCCTAGTTTGCATACTCTCAGGACCAGTACTGAGGTACCCTATTTCCAACAAGAAAAGAATCATCAAAATCGGTTATCGCGTAACGTGCATACAAAAAAGTACGGTCGAAATGAGACTTTCCCTCCCTTCTCCTCCTCCACCTCCTCCTTTGTTGAAGTCGGTTAATAAAGATACAGTTTCGGACATGTAGTTAAGTGTAGGCCAATTAATTTTTTTTTTGACTGTCAGAAGGTTATGTAATAATTAAATTAATAATTGTTCGTTTACTGTTTCGTTACTTGCATTCAAAGTTACATGCTATCTTTCTTTAAATCTTCTTTCTTATTTTTATTCTTCCTCAGCTGTCAAATTGGGCCTCTTACATAGGTGACGGCTACATGGAGAAACTCAAAACAATACAAATAAACTATTTGCTAAATCGCATATATTTCAGCTTTCGAGGTTAATAGTTTTATTCTACAATACAGTAAAACTATTTGCGGCTATCTGGAATTTGAAAAAAATAATTAATTAATGTTTGGTGGCTTATTAACTTTCCGGTACTCCCTACTTTGTAACACAACCTTATTAAATTATGATTAAAATGTCAGATATAGCAGCTAGAAGGGGGGACGATATTGACCTTGAAAGTTGAACGATCACGCCAATACTAAATAATTCTCCTTCTTTACAGATCAACCAGGTCAACCAAAGGACCTTCTCCGGCGGCCAAGTAATCGTGAACCCGAATTCGATTTCGCAGTTTAGCCAATTTAACCAAAAAGCTACTGTCGACCAAGCTTTACAAGAATTCAACCAAGGCCTAGCCCAAGTCGGCGTCAACTTCAATGCTCCACCACCAGACCTGGACCTCCTGCAAGAGGTAATTGACGCAGAGACACCTAACAACACAAATCCAACAGAAACCGAGAGCTTGTTAACCGACTTTTTTGAAAATCCCGACAACATACCATTGCTGCACACATTTGTCGCAACACAGTTAAATCAAATTACGACTGCGGAACCGGAAAACCCGATTCAGGACTTTAATAATGCCAACCCTTTGGATACCTACGAACATTTGGATACACTTCTCGATTTTCATAATGATCAGTTGTACACTAATATCTATCCAACGCCGCCTAGTGCTGAAATTGCAAGTCCCAAGAACGACTATACCTTTCAGACTCCACCATACTCCGATAATATGAGTCCATTATCCAATTTCGCCACAAATTCAGATTACACTCTATCACCAATAAGTGATCTTGAACGTTGCCAAGAAATACCTTCTTACGACGAGAGCGTATCCGAACACGAAGAGACTACAGATAAAAAATCCATCGATCGAAAAAGTTCCGTATCCTCTTTGTCTATGAAAAATTACAAAGATTTGCAAAAAGAGATCTCCGCAAGTTTCTCGAAAAAGGAATGTTGCCAATCCAGCCGAAAAGGGTGCAAGGAAATTTTTAAGGAGCACTTGAAGAAATTAAAAGTTGAAGACAGGAGACATATCTGTTTGAAAATTACCAGCTTGGACATGGAAATGGCTTGCGGGTATGTGTGTTTTTTTTCTTTTAGGACACGTTACAGTGCTGCCAACATGACAAAAAGCGCTAAGTGACTATAGACCAGTGACATCGTGATTTTTTTTTCGTTTTTTTTTTTATAATTAAGTGACGGGACGAACAAGTCCTGCGTCTGATGGTGAGCTACACGCCTGTTCATAACAGTTGCAGTGCCCTCAGAGCCTTAAATTGCCACTGCCACTGCGCCTGTCACCTTAGAACATAAGTTGAGAAGTTCCATGTGACTGTCATATCACTAGCATCTTCACCCTTCAAATGGCAGTAATAAGTAAGGAGTTCTACAGCTAGCACATGCAATACGAATTTCTTATCACATTAAACACGTCATATTGCGAAGTTTTAATGGAATTATTTCCCCTCGCAACTTTGATAAGTCTAATATTAGCGTCGAAAAGCCACTGTTCTTATATGGCTATTAAACCGGTCTGAGCGTAGATTTTTCCTGTTTTTTCACTTCTAACATAAAACCTTTATATGTTAATAAAATGAGTGCCGGCGACTAACTTACCGGGCTTGTATTGATGTCATAAAAGTCTAAAAATATATATAATCTTAACCTTTTCCTGTTCAAAATAATATTAATTCTGTTATAGACAGGATGTAATTTAATTTATAAGATATCTGAAAACATTTGCGGGCAATTCCAGAACGCAAGTTTTTTAATTCATAACTCACTTATTTATTTTTATTTGATGTCGTTGCGTTTTCGACAGTATTTTGAGTTTATTTATATTTTAATAGTTATTCTCACTCAAAAATCTAGATAATTATAATAATAATTACGCACACACTCAACATAGCCCCGCATTAGGGAAACCCTGAGTCGCGGGTGCCATGGACACACACATAGACAACCACATATTATATATAACGGCAATGTTGCAGTTTTTCTGATACATGTGAGTAGTGAATAGGCAAAAAAAAGAAAGGTTTGGGCACGCGTTTAGTATGCAAATCTATGGAAGATAGGTCTAATAATACGTCTGTAGTGATTCCAAGACTGGATCGACTAAGACTTTGTAATGATGGGGCACGAAATGTATGGTCCCATACAAAAAATACATTTTTTTTTCGTACTAAATTATTAAATTTATTTTAATAGGACTATAGGATCTCTCGATTGGCATATTTTAGAGAGGTGTCCTGGAAAAAAATCCAATGTCCGCAATATCTCTGATCCGATCCACTGTGCGTCGCAAAGTTAGGATAAATATAATGTACCTGCCTGTCTCCAATTACGTCAATTTTTAATGTTCTTACATTGACCTACCAATAAATAAGTCAATGTAAGAACATTAAAAAGTAGATAGGAAATGAAACTATTTTTCCGGATTTAAATCGCCCATATTTGTTTTTTCAAACAAACTGACGTTTCGGGCCCTTTACAAGTCCCAAGACTGTACCACCTCAGTCAACCGTCACCATGGGACCTGTAAAGGGCCCGAAATGTCGGTTTGATTGAAAAAACAAATATACGCGATTTAAATCCGGAAAAATAGTTTCATTTCCTATGTGTAACAATCGCGAAAACCTAAGAACTCGATATTAAAAAGTAGGTCAATGTGTTCTTAAGAGATTTCCCGAATCCCGAAAAGGTGCAGGACCTAAAAAATATTGTCGTAAGGCAGTCTCCATTAGAAAATGGAGACAGAATATAGACAGGAGTCTATGTTCCTCGAAGTTTAGGTAAAAAAAACTACCTATTCCAATCCCAGATAATTACTAAAGTAACAAATATTTTGTTGATATCTATCGGTATCGATGTTTGTTATACATGTCAAAAATTAAACACAATAGCAGGGTAACAACTGGCGGTCTTACTAAACTACTACCTAAACTTCGTCTTACTAACTAAAGGCCAACTGTCAAAATAAGAATAAAGAAAGCAATAACGCAATTAGTAATAATTAGGACGTCGTAACATTCACAATGTAGTCATTTTCGACAAAATTTTATCTTCTTTCACGACAATTACAAAACTATTTAAAATTTTATGAATACTGGCAACCCTACAAATGCCATTTAATTCCGTCTTCCAGAAAGACAGACTATACTGTATTTATTGTTTGTGGACATCGATATAGTTGATTGAATAAGTAAGCTGCAGTGGCAGAGGTCACGTCGATTTTTCTTTTTTTAAGCTTTAGCCACAGAATATATAGTACTACATTTTAGGTTTATTTATTTTCTTTCTTCTTTTTCACTATCAAAATGTATCCATAAATACGAGCCCAGCACATATCCATTACGGACTGCTTAATTGTGTCCACTAATTTACTTGCATACTGTGTTCGTCTATAAAAAAAATGTGCAATTAGTAGGATACTTACTCATGCAATAGTAACTACTCATAATGTTGTTATAACAACAATGGTTCTTTGTCTCAGCCAAACGGTGTATACGTAAAAATTATTCAAAAAAGTAAGTCATCAAACACTTTTTTTGCATTTCTTTTTTGTTTTTAAATATCTGAGAAGAGAAAAAGAGTCCAAATTGAAAATTATATGCATGTTGTGCTTACATCTAGTAGGTTCCCTATAGTTAAGACTGCTAACTCTGCAACCATCTTTAACCTTAACAAATAAATAAGTAATGAAAATACTATTCTCGTATATGGCTGGTAGTGGTCAGAGAGAAAGGAGTGACCAAACGTAAATGGTGTGTCCCAATTATCGTAAACAATCGTAAATAACACGCTAATACACAAAACGCGTGCTTCCTACCTTTTGTTAGAAGTACATTATATCAATAGACCGTATACGTTACACCGCGTATGTTTTATATTTTAGATAACAATAGAGTGGCCTTGGCATTATCCTCTTTGTATACTGTAGATACATCTGTGATAACAGTGTCGATGACGTCATTATATTCACAATTAATTTATTTATAGAAATGACACGTATTGTGTTGAAATTGATAGGACCCTCAGTACAGAGTATTAAAAAACCGACCTCAAAAGTCATTCACTCCCTAGTTTGCAAAGTTAGTTTCAAATTTAAATAGTACCACTCCTGATGTACCCTCTTCGCCGGAGTTATCTCGTAGCATACATACAAAAAAAAAACTATAATATCAAGTGACGGGACGAACAAGTCGTGCGCCTGATGGTAAGCTACACGCCTGTCCATAACAGTTGCAGTGCCACTCAGAGCTTTAAGTCTCAAGGATCTGACGGATACTGCCACCGCGCCCGAGACATACGTTTACAAGTCCCATGTGCCTGTAAATTGACCAGCAACCTTCGAAACCTGAATACTGTAATGCTGATATAGTAATATCAGCTTGGAGAGACATAGGTAAAGTGGCAGTACTATCTTGGATGAACTCTTCCATAAGGAGCTCTACGGCTACTATAACAACACTATGCTAACTTAAAAATTGCAACTTTAGCACATCGTGGAGCAGGCGACTACACGTGTCGCAGCCAGACACGAGTCGGACATCTGTTTTTTTTAAGATTTATCAACATTTGGTTACATTATTACAGTCTTAACAACGTAAGCTAGGAACGCCTTAAAACTAAATGTAGGTTACAGGTAAATACCAATTGCAATTAGTAAAAATACTATAAAAATGACAACATCATTTAACATCAAGTAAAAGGGAAAATCAACAACAATTAAAAACAACAGCAACAATCAAAAATAAAAATACAATACATTTGGTTTACTATAAATATCGAGTATATAACCAGAAATAGAGACGAAATAAGTAAAATCCATCCCTGGCAACCCATC